AACTAATAAATGTCGTGGTAAGTTACTAAAAGGAAATAATAAACACTTTAAGTATTTATTCATCTCCAGATACAACTCAACTACTTTTATAGTTCTTTGATCAAACTTATAAGTCTTAATATTACTAATACTATATTCAATTTTTTCTTTTGAAAAAAAAAAAAGAACAGAAGGTTGTCGATTAGAAATGACCAAGAAACTGCATTCGGTTTCATTCTCAATTCACGTTGATGATATTCTTATTGAAACAGTTTTTTCTATTTTTTTCTTCTATCTTCTTTTTTTATTTTTATTTAATTTTTAATAAGTCAAATAATCTCAATGTTTCACAATCTGTCAAAATATAATTAAATCATTTTCAGTTAAATAAAAAACAAAAAACAAAATTAAAATTAACAAAAATCTTTTTCTGAAAAAATTAATTAAAGAACTTGGAATAAAAGAACTCCAACGATGAACTTAAAAATAGAAAGAACCAAAAGAAATGAGTCAACCACCAATTCCTGCAAAAAGAAAAGCTGCAGAAAAAGATCCAAAAGCCACATTCACAAAACCATCAAGACTAATTGCTGCAGCAAAAGCTGGAGAAGATGAATTAATCAGAGAATATATGGATAATCCAACTAAAAAAATTGATATTAATAAAGTTGATTCACTTGGACAATCTTCTATGCACTGGGCTGCACATTCAGGATATCCAAACACTATTGAAACATTAGTACATTATGGTGGTAATGTTAATCTTCAAGATAAGACAGGAGAAACTCCATTACATAAAGCTGCTTGGAGAGATAAAGTACAAACAATTGCAAAATTAATTTCACTTGGAGCAGATATCACTATTAAGAATGATAAAGGAGAGACTCCATTCATGGTTGCTAAAAGTCTTGAAGCAAAGAAACTTTTATACATTCCAACAGTTGATCTTGATGAAGATTGTGAGGATTCACGTGATTCAGATGATGATTAAACTTACTTTTTTTATCATCCAATTTATTTTTTTCAACTTCAGAATGATATTCTTTATTTGTTTTTTTATTTATGGAAAAACAGAAACAGTTAAACATAAATTTGATATAATAATTTGAAATAATTACATAATACTCGATGATAAATTTACTTTTATATTTTATCAATTTATTATTTAATAGGTGTAATATTTGGTAAATATTGCAATATTGGTTCAATTGAAATGGTTAATGGAATTAACCATAAATTTATTTTAACAGCATTTTCAAATATTTCTTTATGGACTTCATCAAGAAAAGCAATAGTACCTTTGTCTTTCAATAAAATTGACCAATGATTTGTTCCATCAAAAATAACAATTTGGTCTATCTTTCTAATTGAAGGAATAGAAGTATTAACAGTAATGGCTTTTGTTGATTTTTTTTCTGTAGCAATAACAAATTTCATAGAAAGAATGCACTCAACAAGAACATTATTTGACCGAGTTTTGATGTATTGAGTAATTCTCCTTTCCATATCTTTTTTTCCTTCACCTACTTTTAGTCTAATAGCTTCATTTCTTAGTTCATCATAACTAAATACAATATTTCCAAAAGGATCAATACATTTGGAAATATGGATAAATGGTAATACTGTATGAATATTAAATTTTTTTGGTTTAACAAAAACAAAAGAAAATCCCCAAGTATTTAATAAACTGATATAAAGAATTTCTCTTAAATTCTCTAAATGAACAGAATTATACTTTCTCTTTTTCACTTGTTCATTTTTGTTTAATTTGGAACTTACTGAATTAACAGGACTGAATGATCTATCCATTTTATGATGAAGTAAACTATGAATTCAAACCCTTTTATACTTTGTTTTGAAGTCATCAAAAATAGAACAATTAAATAAATAATAAAATTTTATTATTATTTTATTATTCTAAAATTGGATACTTCAAACCCTTTAAAATTAGTTCTTTTTATTAATTAATTTATTACTATTTATTATTCTATATTTAAAACCTTCATTATATTTTTAAGTTCATATAAAGATATTTTTTTTTACTATTATAATAAACTATACTAAATTTTATTTTGATACATCATCTTTAAAATGAAGTTATGATTATTAGATTTTATTAAATTTGAATTTTTTTATTTAAAATTTAAAAATTTTAATATTTCACAAAAAATAAATTACATCCATTGAACCACTAACACTTTTTCCATTACATTTTCGTCTTTAATAAAAAGGGTATCTCCAGCAAGTGAAGAGTCTGTATATCGTTGACTAAATTTCATTCCCATTTCAACAACAAAAACTCTTTCTTTTTTAATTACATTCATTGTTTTTTTTAATGAAATAAATATATGCTCATCTGGGTGAATAGCACATGATTTACATTTCTTTTTTATAGGATAAAATGGTGTTGGGGCAATATTAAAAGGGTTTTGAAGTGTAAAAACAAAATGTCCAGGATCGTTTTTGATAAATCCATTAGATGGTATTTTTTTAGTATTATACCATCCAAAAATATTTAGCCTTTTACCTACAAGTAATATCATAACGTTAGTCAGCCCTGTGAATTCTGTTGGACATTCATCTTTGGCTGAATCATAAATGATTTGGTATTGAGATTTACCTGTCCATTTCTTGAAATCATCAAGATATGATTTAATTAAATAATCACTATCAACACATCTCATATACTCACTTTTTTTTTCTTTAAAAGTCCTAATCTTTGCTAAATCATTTTCTCTTCGTATCCTATTCTCTGTTTCCATTTTAAATAATCTGTCTTGTTCTAACATAACTTCTTCTACTAAAGAGGTATTACTTGATTGTGGTGGAACAATTAAAACAGGGATTACATCCTTTTTACAAGATGTATTTGATCGTTGACGAGATATTTTAGATAAGGCATCTGCAGCTTTAAATTTACCATAATATCTTGGGGTAAAGAAAATTCCTTCTTTCTCTATTTCTTTTGGACTTAATTCAAGAGAATTATTTTCAGTTTGTTGTGAAATAGAAGATAGAGAAATCCCACGTTTTCTTGGTGAATCAATATATGTTTTTTCTTGATAACTATAAGATAATTGTGTTGGTTTATAAAACTCAATTTTATTAATTCTACGTTTTTGTGAAGATTCAATTGAAGGATTGGGTTCTATTATTATTGGCT